ATACTCTTTTAACTAAGAGCCGGATTGGTGTCTTTATTTTTTAACTTATCAGGTTTATCAGTTAATTTTTAACCAAACACGTAGTTTTTCATTTCGTGCGATGAGTTGTGTAATAATAAGAAAACGTAAGGTTGAAGCTATTTTTTTGGCTGTATTTACTGAAGTTACTGTAGATGACCTGTAACACCGACCCCGAGCATATTTACTTTTAGTAAATTATGTAATAAACCTTGAAAGATGATTTATGAATTTGCGTAATTGTAAATTTTTATTATTTCCTTTACGTGAATAGTAAATTGCATGTGGGGCCCACAGCGGGAACGGGGACCGCCCGATAATTCCCGAACCACATATTATATTCATCTTGGTCGAGATAATATATATATGGTGGTGGATATTTTATTTGGGCCATAAGAAAGGCATGGAGTTGACCGGTTGGTCAAACGAAGCCCAATTACCGGTATTGGTGATTGAGCGGATAACAGCCCGAAATGAGTTTCGGAGGCTCCAAAATTAATGTTGGGGAATGTACATCCATTCTAAAGGCCCATAATTATTGGGAACACGTGATATATTTTATTTGACCCGATAAAATAAAATATAATTAAAACGGACCGAGAAATACAACTTTCGGGGCCGATTGTACACACCGGGACATAACGGGATGACCTCCCACCTAAGTGGGGGCCACCCCACGTTTTTAGGTGTGTTAGCTGACTAAACAACAGCTGGGGGGACAAGCCAAAGTGGCTTGTGCGGACAAGAAGAGGGGAGGAAGTCTCATTGAGACAAAACCTCATGCCAATGCCTATTCTAGGCATTATTGGCATTCTTGATTGAGGAGGAACCATTTCCCTTATCCTCTTGCATTCCACACGACCAACCACTAAGAGAGAGAGCTCTAGGAAAGCTCCTCACAGAGCTGAAGCTAGGAGAGAGCAAGAAAGGAAGAATCCCCACACCAAAGGGCTAGAAATCAAGGTAAGAACTCAAATAGTTCTTTTAACTAGTTTATTGTGTATGATTTATAATAAATCATATGGTGGGTTAAACCTGATGTTCTACACGTTTAAAAGTGTAGAATATTGATATAGAATGGTGGTATTTAACTTGGGAAAGTTGTGGAATCGATAGGAGTCGAAACCGCCGGGAAACTGCCATTGTTGGGGACTGTTTTCGAGCTGCAGGCCCGAAAGCCGCCCACCTTTCACGAAAGCCGCCCGGCTTTCGCTTGATTTCCAGATTTTCCACTCTTGAACGGCCTAGAACGAGGACGGATCGAGGGGGTTTCGCTAAGGCAGCTAGTTGAGCACATCATAAGGTGAGGATGGCTGACTATATTGCTTATAATTAGTGAGTTAATTTCATAAGAATGTCTAAAGTAATTAGATGGGATTTTCATGGACTATTAAAGATTAATAATGTCTAAATGAAAATAATATGAATATGAGTAAGTGAAGCATGACATACAAATTTAGAATAATTGTGTATGATTATGTGAAATGAATGGAATGGCATGTCAATGGAATTACTAAGATGACATTGTGATAAAATATCCTTTACTTCATGAATGAACTTCATGAATGGTTTAAAGTGATATTTTTGATATTGAGATTAAACTATACTTGGATCGAGAAATCAATGGAAATGAAATGAAATATGGGAAATAGGAACTTGGCATGTTCTAAGGTTATCCAATTAGTATCAAAATACTAGTCGGGAAATTAATATAAATAAATGATGAAATAAATCCTAAGAGGTAGGATTGTGAATAGATATACCTTAAGTAGTCTCAAGAGATACTTAAGGATGAATGACATGAACACTAAGGAGTGATTAGGGGTAGGCCTAAAGGCCACCTCCGGAAATTGATTCTAGGCATAGGACTTGCTTGAGAATTTGATTATGAAAATAAATAGAGTTGGACTCTAGAATGACATGGAGATGTAGTTGGGCCGAGCCCATGCCATGTAATATGATTAGCATGGAAACGTAGTTGGGCCGAGCCCTTGCCATGTATATGTGACCTCCGTGGAAACGTAGTTGGGCCGAGCCCTTGCCACGAAGTTATGGTTGGTATGGAAACGTAGTTGGGCCGAGCCCTTGCCATACAAATGTTGATATGATACATCGAGTTAGAGGATTGTATAGAGATGTAGTTGGGCCGAGCCCATGCTATACAATTGGGGCTCGATGGGACCCCACGGGGTTATCGTGACTCGCGGTCACGGGGGAATGGGAACGGTGAATTCTAAATGAATATGGGCCTACGGGCCGTCTACTTGACTTTATGTAAAGCAAGTACAGTTAAAGGTAAAAAGGGGTAACCGATGGTTATGGCCTATAATATAATAGTACCCTAAGACGGGGGTCTTAGAAATTAAAACGTTGATTATACTTAGTATAGTTGCTATTGTACTTGTCAAATATTTCCAAGTACTGACCTCCCCTTCACGGGGGAGGCCACCTCACAGTTTCAGGTAGGACTTGAAGGTTGCTACCGACGCCCGTTGCTTCAGGGATTTCCAAGGGAGAAGACGTGGTTCGTGCTTCTTCTGTTTCCTGTTTTCAAAACAATTATAACATTGCTCATGGATACTATTTTTGAATAACTATTTGGGGGCTTGTATGCCCATGTTTGCCAAAGTGTGGCTAAGACATCTTTATTAAATGCTTCCGCTGTTTTAAATGAATGATTTACATTATGCTTGTTTATGGATGTACTATGTGTGAATGGTATTCAAGACGCCTTGTATAGTATGGATGAGTTGGACTGCGGTTGACTATTCGTACTGTACGGCGGGTTGTTGACGTGTCCGGGTAGGTCCGGGGCGTGACATGACCATTTTAGCTATTTTTCATATAATGTTTTCTGTATTTCATTAATAAATATTTTAAAATATAATATTTTAATAAATCAGCAGAATCAGCCAATACAGTCACTTCAATCAAAACTTCATAAAATTCGGTAGACTCAGCTGATTAAACTAATTTTAGTGTTACCAAACGGATTCTAAATGTAATGGATAAAAACGAGTCACGATGGTATTTTAATTTACAGAGCAATCATGATAATAATCTGCATATACATGTAGTAATTTAAAACATATTTTTGTTTATCCTTTTTATTTAAGTAATAATTAAGAAAAAAGTTCTAAATCTTGGATTTTTTAAATGTCTGCACACCAACCGACATTTAAAATATTTAAATATTTAAATATTTAAGTTAGTACTCCTGGGTAGCTTAAAAATGGTTGAAGTTTGTGCAGAGAAGAGAAAATTAACTGGAATCACAAATTATTTATTTAAAAGGTAAAATGACAAAATTAGTGGAATATCTCAAAAAAAGAAAACTGGCAAAGGAACAAATATATGGTAGTCTGGTACAAAGGATGCTTTTATTTGGACTGTTTTCAGTCCTAGACCACATCAGACTTAAACAGACCAGACTAGACTTAAATAGACCAGACTTGACCTCCGTAGTTATAAAATACACAAAGACCACACATTTACCAAACCAAACCAGAACAGTTTAGAGCAGACCAGTTCAGACCAGATCAGACTCAAACACACCAGATCAACAAACTATAGTGAAGTAAAAACATTCAAAGTCATTTTTTCTTTTTGCTTTATTAAGGCCATCTCCAACAGTTAACACCATTTTTTACATTAAAATGGTGTAAACATCACATCAAACAGTATTTTATCTCCAACAGTTTACACCATTTTCATCACCAAAAAGGAATATTCTCTTTTTATTCTTTTTACTAACTTTTTACCATTATTCTATTTAAGTATCTAACTATCTTATATTTATACATTAGCCCCTCATTTAATATTTTGACATTTCACACATTATTTCACACATACAAACTAAAATACATCATTTTAATATGTATTTTCACGCATTTCACTAATGAAAACACAATAATCAATATTTCATAAATACAAGCTAAAACCACATAAAATTAAACATTACACAATAATATTTTTTTTTATCAAATTAATTGTTTTTATTGTTCTTTTATAAGGATGTTTTTACTTTGACTGTAATTTGTTTCAGATCAGATCAGACCGAATTAGACCAAACTTGGGTAGTTATAAAAATACAAAGAAATCAGACCAGGTCACATCAATTCAGACCAGACCAGACCAAATCAGACCGGACCAACAAATTTCAGTCCAAGTAAAACTTTCTAATTTGTTGTTTTAAAAATGGTTCAAAACTATAATAATCAAAACTTTGGGTCACATTTGAAAGAAAAATAAATTACAAAAAGAAAATGGTGCTACAAATGGCGTACGCCATATATAGCGTAAAGCCTTCCCCCTCCCTCATTTTGGTGTAATGGTGTAAAGTTTAGTGTCATTGTTGGAGCATTTTTTGCCAAATACACCATTTTGGTGTTGAAGATGGTGCTTGTCGGAGATGGCTTAAGAGCATCTTCAATGCTACAATGTACACGGTGCAAATGTGACAGGAGAGAGATAGACACAAAAGATTACATTAATGACATTTTTCTCTCTTTCTTTCCACGACCTTATGTGTTTTTGATAAGTTTTTCTCAAGAATGTCAACCACAATGTCTACATCTAGACATTGTGCTTGATATTGTAGAGAAAAACTTATCAAAAATATATAAGATCATTCAAATAAGGAGAGATATTCTATTTGTTGTTTTCTAATCGACTATCTCCAATGACAGGTATGCATCGTAATCTAACTGAAGTTATTGATTAACGCAAATGATGGAAACTCCCCATATTCTATGATTCATTCATGTAAAAGAGGGCTTTACAATAGTTCTATTTCGGACTATTTAGGATTCAAATATTCAATCGAAGGCTGTAATGCTGTATATAGAATTTTATAAGGGAAAATTTTCGAAATAAGAGTAGAAAAGTTTGAAAATTTCAAAATAGGAATGTCATATTTTTATTCCCAAAATAAGAATAATTACTGTAAAGTTTGGAAAATACTGACATGTTCAAAGCCTGATACTGCCAAAATATGTCAATAATTAGTCTTATTTTGATAATAAAATAATGATAATCCTATTTTAGAATATAAACATTTTTAACCTTATTTTGCTTAATTTCTCATTTTATAATGCCTAAATTAAATAAAGAATGCAATTGACTATTCTCCTCAAGTCCCTATATATATAAGGAGTATTTCAGAAGAAGAGGACGGAGTGGACGAGCAAAGATTGGAGCTTTCTGAAATTTGCGGTTCTGATTCCAAAGAATTCTGTGTATTGGTACATGAGCTGGTGATTCGCTTCATTCTTTGGAATTGTACGTTCGTGCGATATATTCACAGAGAGGATCTATTCGAAGTATTGTGGTCTGTGGTGGTGGATGATCTAAAATCAGTTGGTGGAAGACGGGAAGGATGCGAGGAAGAAGATGTGGAAAGAAAACCGGGACAGAGAATCAGGCAAACTTCGCCCTAATTTATACTCCAGCCGAGTTAAGTTGAGCCGACTCGCTTCCCTTCAACTCTCCAATCACAAAGAGTTCGTCTCCCCTCACCGCGCATCCATCAACTCTCTTCAGGTTCGCTCCAACTCAGTCCACTTGATCACTGATTACTCTATCTATGAATGGATTGATCTCAGTTTAGTTGCGATTTACTTAAACTTCATTCAATTTAAGATAATTAGATTATTTATAATGTGCAATTAAAGGTAGTTAAACTGAAGTTACCATTCAAGGAAATGCACTGACTTTAAACCTAAATGTGAAATAAGAAGTACTGTATTATGTGCTTATTTCCCTTTATGAGAGAATCTGTTGTTAAAAATTACTTGGGGTGAAACCTGCATTTTGTGGGCATTCCCTTTTGACCACGAAATCAGGTTGATTTGACAGAGCAAAGATATTTACTATCCTGTGCTTCGGATGCATCAGTTGCTGTTTATGATGTCCAACGTGCAACAGGTCAAGAGGGTGGTGGGTTGATAGCTCAACATAAACCCCTTTTCGTTGTTGACAAAAGGCATGAACACGGACACAAGTATTCCGTTTCTACGGCCATATGGTATCCAGTTGACAATGGGCTGTTCATCACGGGTTCGTACGATCATCACATTAATGTATGGGACACAAACACAACACAGGTAGTGTAGGTCTTGAAATTATATCATCTCGTTCATTTATGTCATTGAGAGAGTGTTCTTGAAATCCTTTTACTCGGTATCAGGTGGCTGTTAATTTCAAAATGCCTGGAAAGGTTAATAAGAGTGCCATGTCTTCTGTGGCAACATCTCATATGCTCATTGCTGCTGCTACTGAAGATGTACAAGTTCGGCTTTGTGATATAGCTTCAGGCGCCTTTGCTCACACTTTATCCGGCCATCACGGTATATGCTGCCCTTGGTGTACACATTGTTTTATTTTTTATTATGTCTATTTGTTTATGGATTACATGTATAACGAGACATTTTAGAAATATGGTCATTCATATCAATTCACTTTCTCAGGATGCGGTTGTATTTGTTTTCCTTTTCTCCTCCCTTCTTTTTTTGGCATGTTGTTTCATTTTCACAAGGTGACTGAGTATAAAGGTATCGGTCAATTCTTTTTAAACTCTCTTTGTTCTTAAATACTCCCTCCATCCTAGAAAATTCTTCCCACTTTGACTTGGCATGGAGATTAAGAAAGTGGAATAAAGTGGAAATGTATGGTTGTAGTTGTGTAAGAAAAAGGTGAAATGAATGTGAACCACACAAATTGTCCAAAAATGGTAAGTGGGAAGAATTTTTTGGGACGGCCCAAAAAGGAAAGTGAGAAGAATTTTATGGGACGGAGGGAGAAATTGTCTTTTTGGCAAACCAATAAAAGAAAACATACTACTTCCTTCGTATCATTTATCTGTGTCACTTTCCTTTTGGGACGTATCAAATTAGTTGTCTCATTTCCCTTTTGGGGAAGAAACCCACCCTAAAACAACTACAGTAGCGCTACAACATAAAGTGTACAGTAATTATCTTAAATTATACCAGGTGTACAATAATTATCTTAAATTACGTGCAAAAGTAAATGAGACAGATAATGTGATACGAAGGGAGTATGTCCCAAAAAGAGGTGCAAATGTGCGAGTTTAAGGTTGAATGATGATATGATATGAAGCAAAATCTGGGCTTGGAAGAAGAGGGGCAGAAGCCCTCGTGGGTTTACTGAAGGCGGGAACAGGCTTGAGCCCACCTTCATGGGCTGGTTGCGGGCTGCTTAATTAATATTTTTTTTTTAATTTTCCTGATTTGTTTCCTATTTGGAGTTAATTAGGATTTCTAATATTTGTTTTCTATTAGGATTTAATTAGGATTTCTATTATTTGTTTCCTATTTGAAGTTGATTAGGATCTTTTTTTATTCTATTTCCTAGTTGGAGTTGATTAGGATTTCTAGGATTTTGTTTCCTAGTCTGGGAATTAGTAGATGGGTATTTATACCCCTTGTTAGGATTCATTCTGGCTCATTTTGGAATAAAATTGGTTTTAGCCTTTTGGCTCTGGGCAACAGTATTTTTTATCGTTGATTATCTGGGCAACGCTTTACCCCGTTCTTTTTTATTTTCTGCTCTCAACGATAAAAAATACTGTTGCCCAGAGTCAAAAGGCTAAAACCAATTTTATTCTAAGATGAGCCAAAATGAATCCTAACAAGGGATTTAAATACCCATCTACTAATTCCCAAACTAGGAAACAAAATCCTAGAAATCCTAATCAACTCCAACTAGGAAATAGAATAAAAAAGATCCTAATCAACTTCAAATAGGAAACAAATTATAGAAATCCTAATTAACTCCTAATAGGAAACAAATATTAGAAATCCTAATTAACTCCAAATAAGAAACAAATCAGGAAAATTAAAAAGAATAAATATTAATTAAGCAGCCCGCAACCCCACCATGAAGGTGGGCTCAAGCCCGTTCCCGCCTTCAGTAAACCCACGGGGGCTTCTGCCCCCTCTTCTTCCAAGCCCAGATTCTGCTTCATATCATGATACAACTAATATCCTCTTGATCACACAAATGGTACTCTGAGTGTATTTTACTTTGGATTGCAACCGGTAATTTGAGTTTAAGGTTGAATGATGATAAAACTAATATCCTCTTGATCACACATAAGTTAGTACATTTTTTTATATATTTAAAAACTACATTAAAAGTTTGAAGTGCAAAACCCCAATTCCATAATGATTAAAAATTGATAGCCAAAGTCAGAGAATAAATAGAAAATATAGTGCACCACATTTTGGGACTAAGGGAGCAGGAAAATGACTAAGTTGCCCTCCATAGTTATTTCACTTTTCTTGTTACTACATTTGTCTTTTAATGACAAAATTATGTTTCATCTTTAAGATTTAAGAGTTAAGACTCCAAATATCCTTAGTAGACGGTTACTCTGGAATGGAGGGAGTATAAGTTCAGAACATTAATCAAAAAAGAAAACATACATCTAAACCTCCAACTTGACAAGAGTGGTTCATTGTTAGTACAACATTACGCAGAAGTCAGAACACATGATAGCAGATAGTGGGTTGTGAGAATAAGTTGTACCTGAAGAATAGAATTAGTTGTAATTGTTATTTTTCTTGTGGTAGATGGAGTGATGTCAGCCGAATGGTCAGTTTCTAGTGAGTGGGTTCTGATAACTGGGGGATGTGATGGTGCAATTCGTTTTTGGGACATTAGGCGAGCTGGATGTTTTCATGTTTTAGACCAGTCCCAATGTCAGCTTGGGAAACGCCCACCTCTACTTCCACGTTCCTATCCAAATAAGGTACTTACACGAAGACTCCATTGTGTCATAGAAAATGTGTTTTCTGGATATTTCTGCTTGGCAAGGAATATAATTTTTGTCATTTCCTGAAACAGTTTTATGTTTTCCACTTTTGTTGATCATGCATTACGCATAGAACAACATATTTTCCAAACAAACACTATACCAGGAAACATTTCCCTCAACAAATTATTTTTTTACAATTAGACAGAGCTTAACTTGATTCAAAATAATATATTGAGAATCTTTAATTCCTTCTTGATAAGCATTTTTTTCCTTCTTAGCTGAGACAACCAAATAACTTTCGCTTTTCCCTTTAATTACATGTGTCCTTTCTAATATTCTTATGAATGTTCTTAACAGAATTCAACTTCTAAATCTTCACCAGCAACTCATATACCATGTATAAAGGCCCGTCCATCGCAACGAAAAACAGTAACCAATAACAGCAACAAACTGCCTGTTATTGATAGACAAATTAGTAGGGGGTCATCAAAGCAAAGATTACACCCAGGGATGTTATCCTCTCAGGATCGTGCCACTGCTCATTATGGTGTGGTTAGTAGTTTGAAAGTGACTAATGATGGCATGTACCTTTTAAGTGCAGGTAGGCTTGTTCTCTTTTATAATCCGTAGTTTGTACTCCGTACTACATAATTTATTTTTGTTTGTTTCTATCTTCATCAAATATTTGAAGAAATTAATGACGATTTTGTCATGTCCTATAGATTTTAGCAGTGTTTGGACTTCTTAAAGTGGCAGGTAATGGGAAAAATTGCTGAATATTTTATAAATAAAATATTTGGTTTTATTTTTCCCATAATTTGTTTTCCTTCCATCCAAACTTATATCTATTTTCCCCCCTGTTTTGCTTTCCATAGTATATTTCTGGTTCCAAACGGACCCTTAGGTTACAAGTTTATGACTCCAGGTACGGATTCAAGGTTAAGATTGTGGGATATAGAGTCTGGTTGCAACACTCTTGTAAACTATGAAACTGCACGCCTTCAAACTACTAAGGCCCTACAAGTTGCTATATCCGATGATTCTACTACAGTCTTTGTTCCATGCATGACGACCACTAAAGTAAGAACATCTGCTGCTAATTCAATTCTTAAAATTACTATGCATCTTGAATTCATCTACATAAATGATCTTTTTAAAAAAGATTCACATTACAAGTCGTTGTCATTACCCCAACGCCGCAAAGGCTCTCACCTATGGTGGGGTAGGGGGGTCGGTTGTACGCAGTCTTACCATGTACTAAAGCACAGAAAGACTGTTTCCGAATGACTGCCTTCAAATTACAAGTGTAAAGAATGTATTTGAATGTTTAATACTACATATCTCCTCAGCATTTGATCTATGGTTGAGAAAGGCAGTGATTTAAAAAAAGATTCAAATAAGTGTATGGAGTTTATTTGACTGTATAATATCCTTTAGGCATTTGACTTATGGTCGGGAAAGGCAGTGATGAATTTTCGTGGGCATTATGAGAATGTAAATTGTTGTTGGTACAATTCTCAGGAGCAGGTACAAACCTCTCCTCTCATCTGCTCACCCATTATACGAATGACTTTTTAGGATGTTCATCAAATATTCAGGTGGTATGGATGAAATTTGTTAAACTTATCTGCCTGCCTTCGCTGCAGGAACTATATACGGGAAGTAATGACAGGCAAATTCTCGTCTGGTCACCAGCCAAAACTGTTATTGAAGATGAATCTGTATGCATAAAAAAATCCCTTTTTGTTTTATCTATCTGTGTGTGTGTGTATGTGCATATATTTATAGGGAATGGTTCCGGTAAGAACGGATTCACAAGAGAGAAATGAGAATGAATCTGGATCATTGGATTGTATTATGTGGAACTGAATTGTGCATTTGATGAAACTGAAATGTGCATTAGATGATATTGAAATGTGCAAATAAAAAATTAAACTCAAGTGTGCATTAGATGAAGCTGAAATGTGCGGAATAAAAGGTACAAAAATAACATCACATCGTACCTTTTTGTGCTGCACATTTCAGTTTCACCCAGTGCACATTTCAATTTCATCTAATGCACGTCAAATTTCACTTGAAGCAAATTTAACGGTTCAGATTCATTCTCATTTCTCTCCTAAGATCATATTCTTATTTGAACCAAAACACACACACACACACACACACATATACTGTTTTATATCACCATGCATATGCGATTCATGTTAGCCGACTCCAAATTCTTTTGAGATTAAGGCTTGGATGTTGTTGTTGTTGTATCACCATGCATATGCGTGCACATGCATACATGCATGCATACACACACATGTTTATACGTCGTATATTTTATACACATATATTGATATATACACATATTTGAGTGTGTGCCCGCGTGTGTGTATTTGGTAGAATCTGATAAGTTGTGCTCCAATCTGGTGGTTGTAATGCAGAATTTAAAGATGAAAATGGGCATTGATGAAGATAATTGGAGTGACTGAAGATCATTGTACATCTTTTACTGGGTTTGCTTGTGTTTGAAGGTCTTCTGGTGTTTAATTCATTGTTATCTTTTATTAGCAAACATAGACCTACACTAAGAATGAATTGAACAATAATAATTTTGGAGGGGGGTGTATCTGACAATAGATTAACCTTGTCCTCTTCTTTGTGTAGCCTTCTTTTTTTGGTCGTGTTTGGATGTAGATCTACATACTTCACAACATATTTCAGCCATCCCCAATCTCCATCTATATTCTAAAAATTGCTAGTACTTGTCGGGAACTCCGGCACTACTCTCAGGGGCGGACCGTAGTAGAGACCCAGGGGACTACCGCCCCCCCAACAATTTTTTTTTTGTGTATATATATACGAAAATTAATTTTTGCTCTTCCAAAAAGTATTTTGAACCCCCCAAAAATATTTTCGCCACCCCAAAATGACTTTCCTGGGTCCGCCCCTGACTACTCTCACATAGGGATGGACTAAACCGGCCCGGCCCGGAACCGGCCCGCTAATGTGCGGGCCCGGACCGGACCGGGACCGGTTGGCCGGTTCCGGGCTTTTAGCCCGTTTGGACGGGTCTGGCGGGCCGGGCTCGGGCCCAGTTTTGGGCGAACCGGCCCGGGCGGTTCGGGCCGGGCCCGGGTCATTTTTTTTTGTTTTTTCAATTTTTTTTCTTTACCTAGGGTAGGGCTAGGTGTTTTGGGGAGGTTTGGGGGTGGGGGTGAGGGGGGGGGGGGGGTCGGGGGATAACAAGAAAGCAAAAAAAAAAATAGACATTGAACCGGGCCCAGCCTGGTTAGGCCCGGACCCGGTATCAACCCGGGCTGGTTCCGGGCCCAAGGATTTGCAAAAAAAGCCCGCCCGGGCCTGGCCCGGGTCCATCCCTACTCTCACATAGGGGTTGTTCGGTTCAATTTTTATTTTCTTATTTTATATGTTTGTATATAAAAATATAAACATGTATTTATTAATAATATACTACTCCGTATAATATATATATATATAGCAAAGAATATTATGTAGTACTACTATTATATAATGTAATAGTAATTATTATAGTTTTAATATTATATATTAAAACCAAAAACATTTGTGCAAATAATATAAGTTGTAAAATATTGTAATACTCCGAATATGTAAAAGAAAAATAAAACCAAAAAAATCAATTTGGACTGTGAACTTATGAAGTTGGTCTGGGACCGGCCAGTGTCGGCTGGGTAGACAGCGGACCAATTATGGTTTTTGATTTGAGAGCAGGCCGGTTCAAAACTGGTCTGGATTCCCTAGCCTTCGCCATGCAGGTCCTGCAGGATAGTATTTTATGAGTAATTTTGCATATATATGACATCAATGATATCGATATTATAAGCAATCAATAATTTATACTGTATCATTCAGTGCAACTACCCGACATATTAGAAAAATGTATATCATAAGTATATTTGTAAGTTGGATATAGTTTTCTTAGGGAGTGTTTGCCAAAGATTAAAATAAGTGTTTTAGCTTAAAAAAAGTTATAATCAGCGTTTCAAACACCAACTTCTACTTCAAATAACACTTTGAAGTCGAAAGCTAGAAACTGATATTTGGCTGCTTCTAATTGCTTCTAAGTTTATTTGTAAATAAATCCCAAACATAAAGGATAGTTATACTGCCTACTTTAGTCTGCACAACCCAAAAAACCCTTATCCCGTTTAATTCTATCATATTTGTGTCTCTTCGCTCCTCTTTCATATCCCAGAAAACCTTCCATGTATATGGTGCAAGTCCTTCGACGGCAAAGAAATTAGGTGCTGCCGGCTTCTCTTCTTGCACATCCAATTAGGGGAGCCGTTAATAAATTAAAAATGGGAAATGTCCTGGAATGGGGAAGCTGCGTTTTTTTCTCCAGAGAAGGAAACAGAGGGGACCATTTTTTTTTTTTTTTTTGTATTTCTAGTGCATATAATTTGTGTAAAGGAGCTTAAAAAAATTATGTAAGAGCTTTTGTGTACTTTTATCCAACACTCCAACTTCAATTTTTCCATCTTTATCACTTCTATTCTAAAACACTACCAACTTTTACTACAAAGCACTTTCTCCAAAATCACTTCAAAAAAAACACTATTTTAAAGTAGAAGCAACCGCAGTCCTCAAACACTCCCTTAGTTTACTTGACAAGCATATTTAAGGTTGCATCTCATAATCTAAAAGAATAAGGGGGCTTAGGTGGGCGTGTAGTTTTTTTTAGAACATATCTGATACTTGGTGTTCTTGGGTAGAATTTGAAGCCATGTAAGTTTATTTTGCACAATCCGTAACCAAAAACAAATCTAACCAAATTAGAATGAACAAATAAATGCTGAAAAGAATAATGCTATGCAGTGTAGTATTTCTCTTCTCCTTCTGTTTAAAATTACAAGAAACAGCGTTAGATGATCTAAAGAATCAGTTAAAGTATCCTTGCAAAGTAACATACTACGTATCTGATTTGGCACTAAATCACAAAAATACGTTTCTTCAAGGCACAAGAGAAAGGGAGACACCAAATTTGGGGATATGTTTCCTGGACTTGGTGTCAAATGATCCAGATACCTCCAAGAAAGACTTGGACTTCAGCTCGTGTTGTATTACGGTTCCGATTTTGCCTTGATTGTTGAGCTTTGCCTTCACGGTCGTATGAGGATTGACAGTGTACGAACATCCCACTGTTAGTTTGTTCTCTTTTGTAGATAACTTTCTTGTCATCTCTCCCGCAATGCTTCCTCTCTTTTTCTCTCCCAAATAGTGTAAATATGTTGCCTTCACTGCATCTCCTTTCTCAGCTCTACAACCAAGAATTATTAAAACTATTTGTACTAAACATGACTTGATGATAGCTAGGTAGGGCGAAAAGTAGAGCATCTTATATGTTAGTAGGGTGATGGAAGGAATAACTCAATACCTTATAGTCTTGTTAGTCCTATTATTTATATTTAACAGGTTTAAGATAAATATTTTAACAAGTCCCACAACTCTAACAGGCAGACGAGTAATGAATCCAACAGGTTAAAGGATCCTCAATACCTCAAAAAAAAATGTACTAGATCCAAACTTAGCTGACCAAAGACCACCTATGTGTAATATTCCTAATTTAATTAAAATAATACCAACAACTTACAGAATTAAAGAAATATCAAATTTGGGATTTTTCAAGCAAATGCCGGCATTGTATCTTGTAATTTTTTGAGAAGCAAGGGTGTAACGGGCATCTGTTCCAACAGCAATGCGTGAAGTGCCAACTGTTGCTGATACGTCAATAACAGGAGTCTTCTTCTGCATACCAATAGCCACAGTCAACCTCGCATGTTCATCGCAATATTGAGCCTCAACCTGCAAAATAAAGCAGTTCTAAATATGATAAATACGTAGTAGAAAATAACATAACCTTATAACAAACCACACCCAATTTGACTGTACTGCAGCAAATGCAAATGAAGAAGAACTTACTTTCCCAGCTTTATAGTGAGGTAATGTACAGGACGCAATAGCCTTTGTTGATGGAAGAATATCATTAATGGTCAAACTCACTGAGATCTGTATTGCAAGAATTAGTCAGAATATTACACCATATATGATGTCTTGCAAGAATTAGAGTGAGAACTCAGAATATTACACCACATATGATTACGAATTAAAGACAGATAGAGCATACATTTGATTCAATGTCTGCTTTGACATGCATAGTACTGTTCTTGCATTTCAAGGTTGCTGCCACATCTCCAGTTGAGAGGCTTCCTTTGTGAGCTAAAGTTGAAACTATGGCCTTTTATGGAGCATATGAATGAAAATAAACCAATTAAGAACATCTTGAGTTTTATTTCAGAGCACATTCATGCTCACAGACTTTATCGAGTATTAAAGAGCTTAATTTATAATCCCTATAATAAAAAAAAACTAAAAAACTCTTCAGTTTATTTTAAAATCAAATATATGTAGGGTAACGTATGAAACATATACTGAAGCTCATTATATTCAAATATGAGATACCTATATATCAAAATTACAAATTAAATGTCAAGCTACTCATTTGATTTTTTACGAATACCTTACAATATACCTTATATACTAATGAGCTAGTTGAAGACAAATTTGAGTTTTAGTTATTTATTTATTTTAAAAAGCTTGATAATGAAATCGAAAAGCTTATCTAGATCATACATCTGAATATAAAACAAAGCACTGATTGATGCCAAACAGAAACAGGGATAGACTGCTTACAACTCCGTCTTTGCTCCGAGAAGAGACTGTAAATCTTTGATCGTAATTATAATACCCTGTTGTCAGCACTTCTGCAAAAAGGAAAAATTGAGAAAATTAAATTGAAACTTTGCCGAACTTTGAGTATCCTACATACGGGGTATATTATTATGCACAAAGTTGCGAAACTTTGAAGAAATGTTGAGATCATTACATACTTTTAGCCTTTCTACCGAAATTGGAGAAGTGATCGGGTTCACTAGAGCTCATAATGAACCCCGCTGGGCGCTGGTGATCGACTGATCGGTGTCTGGTGCTGGGTGATGAAGAATATTGAAAAGGACAAGAATATTGAGTCGTGGTTAAAAGCCTTCTTATTTTTACCATTCTTTTACCCCTCCAAACATCTCTCATCATTCATTCTCTCTTTCTTGAAAAATGCTAGAAATACAAACATACTTACAAAAAAAATTACAAACAAATGATGTGGTTATTCTAATTACCATTGATGTAAAAGTGTTGTAAATGTGATGTGATGTGTTAAATAATGTGATGATGTCGCATACTCCTTTTATAAGACTTTTTGTAAAAGTGTTTGTACCTCTAGCATAACTCCTCTTTCTTTCTCCCATCCGTCCCTTGCTATTCTCTCACCTCATTCTCATATTTTTTTCCCTTTTCATTTCAAGAGCTCTCATCTCCATTTTTGAAAGTTTCAAGACCTCCCCATCTAGTTTTATCTAAGGTAACCATCCTTTCTCAAATCATGAGGTATGTACTCTATTTTCGATTTTTCCTCATGTGCATTTTTTTCTTCCTTTTTTCGATTTTTATGTATATTATGTATGAATGTATGATATAAAAGTGAATAATTGATTAGTTGTTTCATTGTAAATCATTTAGAGGTGTTAATTAATTAAAATTTTAGTGTAATTTCTCTAGTTCATTTTATGCCCATAACATGTTTGTAGAAATTACTCAATGAATTTTTTGTTGAAATTCAAGACTTTTTTTCATTTTTTTGTACCTCAGTGTTTATTGAGTATTTTTATGGATTTCCAATTTAATATGATGTACTAATTTTTGTCATTTGTTTGTATTTTGTTTGGCGGACAGGCAATTTAGAACTGCAGTGTCTGTCTAGTCTAAAGTGAACACGATTTTGTCTTAAAGTCTGGGTCAATTAACTACTCTCTGCCTTACACAGCTAGACAAATTTTGTCTGGGCCAGACATTAGTAGTCTGGGCTAATTAACTACTCTCTGTCTTATAACCAGACAAATTTTGTCTGGGCCAGACATTAGTAGTGTGGGCCAATTAACTACTCTCTATCTTACAACCACACAAATTTTGTTTGAGCCAGACATTAGTAGTCTCGGCCAATTTATCTTACAGTCAGACAAATTTTGTCTGGGCCAGACATTAGTAGTCTAGACCAATTAACTACTCTCTGTCTTACAGCCAGATAAATTTTGTCTGGGCCAGACATTAGTAGTCTAGGCCAATTAACTACTCTCTGTCTCACAGACAAAAGTTGGTTGTGCCAGACAATAGTTGTCTCTTCCATACAAATTGATTATGCCTCACATATGTTATTTGTACCAAATATGTGTTCTGATTACGTGTTGTGTATTAATCGTAGGTATTCATTTCAAGCTGACGAATGGCTTAAAATGTAAGGCTGAAAAAGAGTACCAAGCGGACACTAATTCATTTACAAAAATGATACCATGTTTGACTTCTTTTACAATGGAGAAACAAATGCAAGGATTATATACACTAGTCGTGAAGAATGGTGAAGTATAGAGTGTTGGGAAAATGTATTTTTTGAACATGTATTTTTTTTCATATTACAATTGGGAAAATGTGTTGAATATTGTACAATGTTACATGTTCAATGTTGAACAATTGGATTCATTTTTTTGAATATGTGTAAGTTATTGGAAACATTACATGTACAATTATCCACTTTTTCATCTTTTTTTTTGTTTTATGCCTTTTATGTTGTTCATAAGCTGCTTTCTGCAGCTTTGCTTGTAGGGTTCTTCCAGATTTGCACATTTAGTACCCTCTGCCTAAGTTATCAACACACATTTTCATGGTACATCACAGTTCAGATTTTTACTCTACTCATCCCCAAAAATATAAATTTTCACCTTTTTCATCACCTTATCTGGTCAAATTATCAGTCCATTTAGAAAGGGAGTACTAAAAGGTAACATATCTGCATATGGTCATGAACCCCTTGCAAGATTTAAACATGCATTTTCCAAGAATTGAACCCGAATCTACCATCTTGTTAGGCTCTATTAGCTAGAAACAAAAAAACTAAATAAAGATGTGATCTTTTGATGTTATTGTGCAGGTGGCAATCTACCCAAGATTTTGAGTCCCTTCCATCATTCACACAGACTTTCTAACTCAACATTTAAGCATCATTTTAAGAAATGGATGCACAGATTTGCATTTCCACCATCACATGCATCCTCTGGCTACAATCAAGGAAGACATGAATTTAACATAGTGAAATGTGTAAGTTGCACTCTCCATGAGCACAATATCCAAGCAAATTCACCATATTTCTGTGTTGGACGCAAGCAAATACTTTGGCCTCCATCTGAAACTCTTTTTTTTGCCTGTTGTGAGCTGTGTGAGTCTGTGACAGCTTCTTCACAGCTACTTCTTCATAGAAGATAAGGCATATTGCATTTTTCAGGAACTTGGAGAACTTTTATGAACCAATCCCTAAATCTAAGAGCAACCAAACATATATGCACTTCAAATAATACACCAAACAACAATATGCACAATTCAAATTTGAAAATTATACTAGTAATACAAAATCCAAAATCCTTAAAACATAAGATGCTATAAACAAAAAAAAATCATTGAAATATTTCAACAAACATGTTATGGGCATATTAATGACATAAAATAGTTTGACTAAAATTTTAAGAATAAACATCACAAATCCATCGCAATAACACAAAATAATCAGCCATTCAACATTACAAGATATATAGAGTATTACACAAGAAATAAAAAATAAATAACAAAAAATGAAGAAAGATGAAAAAAGGGAGAAAGCGGCATACTAGGAGCGAAATGTGCAGACGAGAGTGGTAGCAGAGATGGAAGAGGCTTACTGTAGCATGTAGGGGTCTGTAGCTCAACTCCATTGAAGAGACTTGCAAATGATGTCCCAAGGATGACCTCCTTTCGTTGGAGCACTGTAGCTCTCAGTTCGAAACGAAAAAAGGGAGTGTGAGATGATGGGAAGGTGAGACGAGAGGAGGTGTTGGCCGGTGTCGTCACGGGGATGCTCGGTTCTGGGTTGTTTGGTTTTGGGTGGTTGGACGTCGCACGGGAGTAAGCCGGGAGTGAGGGGAAGGAGTTTTGGAAGGAAGAGAGTACGGTGCAGGGGAGTAAGCGGGTAAAAATTGAAAGGGGGAAGAGAGTGAGGTAAAAATGGGGGAGGGTTTTTATATGGTGTGCAAATGAGCCCTAACTACAATCATAAAGATGATATTCATAAGAAAAGAATTAATGCACTATTATAGCAAAAGAAGAAAGCATTCACACTGTACCTGAGGCGTTTAAACTAATATCACTTTATAACTTTCCCAAATTCATTTTACTTTATATGATTTTGATAACCAATTTTACAAGATAGTTGAGTTATCAAAAAAGAATTAGATAGACCCATTAGGCACAACCTATTAGATAGGAAACAATTAAACTCATCGGGCCACCATGCTATTTTAATTACTTTGTATTAGTAATTACTCGTACATATTTATGACTAAAATGAAGACTGATTACAAAAATGTGACTAGTGACTAGAGTAGTAATGAAATTGTAGTAACATATGTTCAATTTTTAAACTTAGGTTACTATGACACTACATTGTAGTAACTAATAGTCATATTTGTGTAAAATAAATTTTATTTTAGTAATATTTTTGTAAAAACCCCTTATTATTATTGTGATTATTATTATTATTATTAATTATTAATATGTGTATATATATATACGGGGGACGGGGAGGGGACGGTGCGGGAGGTGCATAACCCATCACCCGCCCCATATTTAAGCGGGGAGGAAATAATTCCTCCACCCCACCACCCACCCCACCCCACCACCCGCCCCAACTCCCCCCACGGTGCGGTTCCCCACGGCCCATGCCCCCATTGCCATCCTTATTAACTTTTAGGAAAGATGACATGAATCCTTGGAATTAATTTCATAGTTTTATGTCAATTTCATGTTTAGTTCATGTCTTTCATGTTATCCACTTTTGATACGTGACTAAGGTTTTTAACTATTTGTGGTCCTTTTCCGGCTATTTTAACCACCAAAAACATTGCCAGAAGGATCATATGTGGGCCAAAACGCAAGGATCATATATCAAAAGTGGATAAATGAAAGATGTGGACTACACGTGGAATTGACCTGAAACTCGTAGGACCAAAAATAGAATTTATTCTTCATTCTTGGGATATTGGACAAATTAGTGGCTATGGTTGAGATAAAAGGGTAACTAAGACACTAACCTTTTTATGATGCAAATAGAGAGCTCGTTTGGTGAAACTAATCTTTTTCGGCTTACCAACCAAAATTTTCATCAAACACGTTACTTTTGGTTTCACGGGTTGAATTGTGTGATAATAAGAAAAAGTAAGCTTATAGTTACTTTTTAGCTGTTTTGGCTGAAGTTACTGTAGATGATCATTTTAGCTGATTTTTCATGTAATTTTTTCTTTATTTTATTAATAAAATATATTTTAAATATATATTTTTTTATAAATAAGCAGAATCAGCCAATACCGCCAATGCAGCTAGAACTTCGTAAATTTCAGCAGAATCAGCCGATTCAACCGATTTCAGTGTTACCAAACGGGCTCAGAATTAAATTGAATACATAATTAGTATTCCAGAATGACCCCAAATAGGAGTAAAACTAGGGCAAAAACAAAAAATAGGACTTCTTATGTTTTTATTTCAAAATAGGACCATAGTACTCCTATTTTGAGACATACATATTTTTTCATACCATTCTTAATCCTCCTTTAAATATGAGTAAAAGGTAGTCAAAAGTCATAATTTAATGTTTTAATTCATATAAAATCGTAAAAACTATTCAAAATCATAGAAGAGTAATAAAGAAGTAATAAAATATTTATAAAATAAAATTTTATTTTTTTAAAATTGTTTTTTAAATAATACTACCTCCGTCCCGCTATTATTGTCCCGTTTTACCTTATCGGTCTGTCTCATTAAGATTGTCTCATACCAAATTTGGTAAAGTTTGTGTGACTCTAAATTATTCTTACTTTATTCTTACTTTATCAATTCAATATCAACCACATAAACCACTTTTTATTAATTTGCGTGTCACTCCCTCTTGTCCCAATGTTAGCGGGACGGAGGGAGTAATAAATAATAAAAATTCATAAAAAATATGGATGTCTTTCCCACCGCGTGTATTGCCTCCTTGCACCACCACCTCCGACCGGTGTAAACCAATGCCATTTTTTGTAAAAAAAATGCATTTTTTTAAAATGCCAAAAAATTGCCAAGTACAAGACCGTATTTGAAAACGGGTCCAACCACAAATCGATACATATTTCATACTTTTCTCTTCCTTTCTTTTCCTTTTGTCTCCAATATAATTTATTGATTCATGTTAGCCGACCCATTTTTTTTTTTGAATTTAAGGCTTAGATGTTGTTGTACAGAACAATCTCATATTGGGACCGATATATTATGTGCATGGTATAATGGTCTCATACAAAGCGTTATTGTACGAGATGCTAGTGATGGTGGTGCTATTGATATACAGCTCCGAGATGCATGGTATCTTAGACCTAAATAGGAATCGACGATCAACGAAGGAGAACAAGATTGACAACCATGGTCGATAGAGATGGTGGCAACACGACGAACTTGGTCGACGATAATGGTGGACATGAATTGATATACAATTTAGATGTTGCCGCAACGGTGCACGAGAATTGTAGTATAAAACAAAAAAGACTGAATTGAATAATATTAATGGAGAAGTTAAGGATAAATACACCTTATGAATTGGGGGCGGGGGATTATTGATAAACAACTTGGATGTTGTCGTAACGGGGCACGTGAATTGTATAATACAAAGAATTATTTTATTCATTGTGACCTTAGCTGTATGACTTTATATATTTACTTTCATTAATTTTTTAATCGACAAATATAGGATCTAATTTTAAATTGGACAAAAAAAGACTAGACTCAAAGCAACAGACTAAAATACCCTTCCAGCAACTCCACTCACCTTCTATCTCCTCAAGTCCACCCTCCCCTTCCGACTCATCTTCCACCGTAGCTAGCATCTCGTCATCACCATCACCACCATCATCGTCAACCAAGTTCTTCATGTTGCCACCATCTCTATCGACCATGGTTGTCAATCTTGTTCTCCTTCTTCGATCGTCGATTCCTCTTTAGGTCCTAGATGGCGTGGCCGCACGATGGCGATGATGGATAGATGACGACAGCTAGGGTTTTGGTTATGCTTGACAATGCTAGAATATGTTCTTGACGGCTAGGGTTGCGGTGTAGGTTGATGGTTGCGCCTCCTGGATTGGGTGATGGCCACGGATGGGTATGGTTACATGGGGGGCTAGTGCAGGGGTGGGAGGACTATGGAAAGGAAGTGACAGGCTAGTGGGGGCAGTGAAGGGGTGACAGGTTGCTAGGTTGGAGCATGGGCGGTGGCGGTGGCAAGGTAGCCAGGTAGTGGAAAGAGCAGGGACAATAGTGTCACTCATTGTAGATGGTTGTGTAATTAGGTCATTGGGTTGGTAACCGTAATTGTAACAGTAACTGACGATGGTGGTCACTTTGAACGGCGCACTCAATATGTCGGCAGTGGCTGGCGGTGGTCACTAGCGGCATGGTCACTGTGGCGGGGTCATTGTGGTCAGAGTCAGGGATGGATTTAAGGGGGGAGGGGGTGACCGCCCCCCTTGGACTTTCAAAATTTTCTACAATATATGTAATATTTTTCTAAAAATTTTCATACTTTGATTAGATTCGCCCCCCTTAACCTTTAGTTTTCAAAATTGATTTATAGTGTTACATAATGTAATACTTACTTGGAGATTTAAAAGAAGAAACACCTAAGATAATTTACATAACTTAAATAAACAAAGAATAGAACAACTCATTGTTTAAGATTTATGATACTTATTATATAAAAATTCTTAGGTTTGTAATGTTTAATTATCTTTATTCGATAACTAGTACTCAATCTTGTAAAATATATAACAAACGATATTAAATACCAAACACACTAGTCACACAGTTTACAAACAATATAAAGTGAGTCCAAGATATAAATGTTTATTGACATTAAATTACACAATTTATTTACTTCTTACGTTCTAAAAAGACTTTATTGCATAAATAATAAACTTTAACTTATTTTAGCATTAATACAAATATAATATGCACTATATATGAATCACCAATATAATATTATTCTAAAAATAATAATCTCATACGTACTATTATAATATTAAGAAAAGTCCTCGTAACTCATGAACACCCTCCTTGGTAGACAAAAATTGTAATTTAAAAACCAACTCTTTATTTTATAAGATTCATGTATTTAAACAATGTAGAAGTTGTTTTAAATGTATTTGTGAATGTGTTCCTTATAAACTCTTTATCTTCAAATAAAATGTTATATATCCTTTTAATGTATCAATACTTTTTTCTAGAGCTCTTCAATTATAAAATTAAAGATAAGATTTAAATATCGTCGTGTATGTATTAATGATTTTTTTTGAATAAAAATAACCGCAGAGGCTCACATTGCTGAAAAATTTCAGGCCTCTACACTAGCACAAAAAATTCACCCCGCCACACCAGTGAAATAATGACCTGCTACTATAACAAAAAAATTCACCCCCTTTACTCAAAATTTTGGATCCGTCCCTGATCGGAGTCACTATGACAATGATCGGTGCGAGAAAGAGTCACTGAGTTTAGTAAATATGCAATTGTCCTACCAACCTTTTTTTTAGTGTTTTTGGAAATTTTTAGAGCAAGTCTTATGTTTATCCTTAACTTCTCCATTAATATTATTTTTGTCATAATCCCATTAAATATTCCAGAATTGAATGATGACATATACGGAGTATATTTTCTGGAGCTAACCATTATTTTGGGGATTTTCATATTTGTTACCCCTATTTTATTTTTGTATGCTTATGAAGGTGGGACTCACGTTATTTCCTATCCTATCAACCTTACCCCTAAAGATTGTCTTTTATGCAAGTGGGGTCTTAACATGGGAAAACAGGCCATTCATTACGTGCCGTTGGGAATATTATTTATTTAACGCAATATGCTCTACGGAGTAATTTATATTTTAATCATCTTCGATTCGCCCATATTTATATGTACCGCAAAAATCTCAAAATAAAGTACGAATATGTTTTGGTGGGAAAAAAAAGTAAGAATATGTTTTTGCTAGTGAATAGGTAAACACTCCACGATCAGATATTACTTTCAAGTTTCTATCTCACAACATTTATTAAATAGACTTTTCTCGACGATGATTTTAATAATTATACTCCTATTTGTTTTTGTAACTTTAATACTTTTCCATCATTTATCATATATTCAAATATTAACTATTGTTTAACTTGAAAATAATATGAAATAAAGTAAAATGATTTAGTAAAATGGTCTGCATTACTTCTTTATTGTGAAGCAATAATGATGCAAGGGAGTTGCATACATCCCATTCTCTTACATCATTGAAAATCTTTGTTAAACTAAAGTAATGATAATAAAGAAGAAGTTTTATAAAAGAACATTATCATATAATTTTATATAATTTTATATTTTACTCCGCATGTACTAAAAATATGATTACTCAAAATTCGAGTGTTGAGACAAAAAAAAGTCAAGAAAAAGTCATCCAAATTTTGTGGGAAGTAATAATCTTTTGTTATTGTCGTCATAAAATTGGGTCACGAGAATAAAACCCAGCAACTAAACATACAAAGTACAGAGTATTTAAAGTTGAAAACGCGAAGAAGAAGCGAGGAAAAGGCAAAGAATATGATAAGTTATTCTTCATGTTGATGACTGGATGTAAAGTAAACTTTCGCCAGATTCGTCAACTGTTTTCCTTAGAGAGGCAGTTCCTGGTTTACAAAAAGCGAGCATCCATGAAAGCTTAGGTGCTCCCTTTCTGAAAATCATCATCACTTTCACCAGCAGCAGCTGGACTGTAATTGTAGCAATATTAAGCCGGAGCTGATCTGAATGGAGGAGTACATTAAGGAGAATTACGGGGAGGTGAAGCCCAATAACTCATCTGTGGAGGCTCTGGAGAGATGGAGAAAGCTCTGCTGGCTCGTCAAGAATCGTAAGCGCAGGTTTCGATTCACTGCCAATCTCTCCAAGCGATTTGAAGCTCGCGCTATTCAGCGCTCTAATAAGGTTTCACGGATTCTCAGTTACTCAAATCATACATTTTGTCGTATTCTGCGCCTCCAAGCAGCTTTGCTGCCGACATTTTTCCTTCCTGTCCTGTTTTTCTTTTTTGCAAAACATGCATTTTCTGGACTTCGTTTCTCTGTTGGCTAGATTTCATTTCTGTTTTTTAAACGTCAGAAATGGGCTAGAATGAAGATTTCATTTTGTGCAAGGAAATGACATTAAGCTAGTTTGTTTATTATTTATGAAGTAAAGATCTGTTTGGAATGAAGTGAATCCATGTGAGTCTGTAGGTACTAAGTTTTCCATGTTAGTCTCTAGGTTATGCCTGACGCTTTATGTATGAAATCTATAGGAGAAGTTGAGACTTGCCATCCTGGTTTCGAAGGCTGCACTTACCTTTGCTCAAGGTATGATTTGCCTGCTCCGTTTTTGGAATTGAATTTAACTGTAGTATAGTGGCTGAGTTTGGCATTCAATGAATTACTTCCAGGTGCAAGTTACTCTTTACCGGAGGACGTCAAAGCTGCAGGTTTTCAGATTTGCCCTGATGAACTAGGTTCTATTCCTGAGGGTCTTGATTTGAATAAGCTGAAATTTCATGGTGGGGTCAATGGCATTGCAGAAAAGCTCTCAACATCCATGGATGATGGGATTTGTACTTCTGATGAGGATTTTCTTGGCAAAAGAAAAGAAATATATGGAATTAATAAGTTTACTGAAAGCCCAGCCAAGGGATTCTGGATATATGTTTGGGAAGCACTTCAAGATACAACTCTGATGATACTTGCTGTATGTGCTTTTGTGTCTTTAGTTGTGGGTATATTGACAGAAGGATGGCCAAAGGGGGCGCATGATGGACTTGGCATTGTGGCTAGTATCCTACTTGTGGTCTTTGTCACTGCCATTAGTGATTATAAACAGTCTATACAGTTTAAGGATTTAGATAAAGAAAAGAAGAAGATTTCAGTTCAGGTTACTAGAAATGGTCTAAGGCAAAAAATCTCAATTTACGATATACTCCCTGGTGATATTGTTCATCTTGCCGTTGGGGATCAAGTCCCGGCTGATGGACTCTTTGTTTCAGGATTTTCCTTATTGATAGATGTATCCAGCTTAACAGGAGAGAGTGAGCCAGTTAATGTGACAGTTGGCAAGCCTTTTCTCCTTTCTGGAACTAAAGTCCGGGATGGATCTTGTAAAATGCTTGTCACTACCGTTGGGATGAGAACTCAATGGGGAAAATTGATGGCTACTATCAGTGAAGGAGGGGATGATGAGACCCCATTGCAGGTTAAGCTGAACGCAGTAGCAACTATTATTGGCAAGATTGGTCTGTTCTTTGCTGTTATTACTTTTTCTGTTTTGGTGCAAGGTTTTTATCTCCAGAAATTGAGAGAAGGGTCCCACTGGCGATGGTCGGGAGATGATGCTGTGGAAATGCTGGAGTACTTTGCTATTGCTGTTACAATTGTTGTAGTTGCTGTTCCTGAAGGGCTTCCTTTGGCTGTCACCCTGAGTCTTGCATTTGCTATGAAGAAGATGATGAATGATAAAGCACTTGTCCGCCACTTGGCAGCGTGTGAGACAATGGGATCTGCCACCACTATATGTAGTGACAAGACAGGGACATTAACAACCAATCACATGACTGTTGTAAAAGCTCACGTGTGTGGGAAGGTTAAAGATAGTCATATGGATGTTCCCACATTTGGCTCTGAGATTCCTGAGGATGGGCTAAGTATACTACTAGAATCAATATTTAACAACACTGGGGGTGAAATAGTTAAAAATAAAGACGGGAAAACTGAAATATTGGGAACACCCACTGAGACTGCTCTGTTAGAGTTTGGTGGTTTGCTTGGAGGGGATTTCCAGTCGGTTCGCCGATCATCAGAGATCATAAAAGTTGAACCTTTTAATTCAGAGAAGAAACGGATGGGTGTAGTCATAAAATCAAAAAATGGAGACTTGCGTGCACACTGTAAAGGTGCGTCTGAGTTAATATTGGCAGGATGCAATAGCGCCTTAGGTCTAAATGGTGAGGTTATTTCATTAGACGAATCTTCGTTTGACAATCTGAAAGGCACAATCGAGAAATTTGCTTGTGAAGCTCTTCGAACTATTTGCCTAGCTTATAAGGACATAGGAAGTGACTTCTCCACTGATCACCCTATTCCTTTTGAGAATTTAACTTTGATAGGAATTGTGGGTATTAAAGATCCTGTTCGTCCTGGAGTCAAGGAGTCTGTTGCTACTTGTAGGTCAGCTGGGATTACTGTGAGGATGGTTACAGGAGATAATATAAACACTGCCAAAGCAATAGCTAGAGAATGTGGCATCTTGACTGATGATGGAATTGCAATTGAAGGTCCGAGATTCCAAGAAATGAGTGAAGATGAATTGATTGCAACCATTCCAAAATTACAGGTGAGGATGACCAGCCATATATTCTGATCTCTGTAGAACCCGGAGAATGCTTGGGAAAGAAAATAAATGGAAAATTTGTTGAAAAGAAATCTTGGAAAATATATAATTTGGTTCAGTCCATTTGACCCTGAAAATCATGTGGGGAGGGAAATAAAGGGAAATTTTGGAGGAAAGGAATTTGGCGAAATATACCAATTTGATTCAGAATCAATAAATCAATTTTGTTAATTTTCTCAAGACCATTTCATTCATATGGAGCATCAATAAGAATTGATTTTCCAATGTAGAACCAAACACTAGAAAAAAACTATTTTCCTCTGTCCACCTACCATTATCTGTGTTCCATTAATTATTTGACAAGGATAAACAACTTTGATATGTGAAGCCTAATATATCAGATTCTGCAGGTCATGGCTCGTTCATCACCTATGGATAAGCACACACTAGTGAAACTTTTGCGGACTACATTCCAAGAAGTGGTTGCAGTGACTGGAGATGGTACAAATGATGCTCCTGCCCTTCATGAAGCTGATATTGGACTTGCTATGGGCATTGCAGGAACTGAGGTGAAACTTTCATTCTAATTACTTAGAAATATATTTCATACTACGTACTAAATAGATAAATCTGGGTTTTGAAAATCTATGTTTTCTTCTTGAGTTTTACTTTTATGGATACCTAGCTAGTAATTCATTCCAAGTTTCAATATGTAAAGTTAGATTTAGTCAACAAGTTCAAAGCGAATGACGAAGTGATTTTTTGATCATGATTTTGAGCATGGGGCCTATATCTCTAGCTGTGGTCTCTCTTCCCAATATTTTGATTCTTGAAATTGATGTCTTTCAAGGTTGTGAATGATCATCAGGTTTCTAAACCTTTGTTCTGTGTTTTATTACTAGTATTGTTTACTGACCAAATACAATATTACAGGTAGCAAAAGAGAGTGCTGATGTCATAATTCTAGATGATAACTTCTCAACAATTGTAACGGTTGCCAAATGGGGACGCTCTGTATATGTGAATATCCAAAAATTTGTCCAGTTCCAGCTGACAGTTAATGTGGTCGCCCTAATTGTCAACTTTACATCAGCCTGTTTGACAGGTCAGTTATGTACGGTTTTTAGAGGCATTTAATCAATCCAGGTCAGTTATGTACGGTTTGCTGATATTGTTTGTGTGACGTTTCAGGGATTGCTCCCCTCACTGCTGTTCAGCTTCTTTGGGTCAACATGATCATGGACACACTTGGTGCACTTGCTCTGGCTACTGAACCTCCCACAGATGACTTGATGAAGTGCCAACCTGCTGGCAGGAAAGGGAAGTTCATCAGCAGTGTAATGTGGAGGAATATTTTTGGGCAGTCTTTATATCAGTTCATTGTCATATGGCATCTTCAGAGTTCCGGGAAAGCAATCTTTCATCTGGATGGACCCCATTCTGATTTGGTTCTCAACACACTTATTTTCAATACGTTTGTCTTCTGCCAGGTACCTATAAATTTTCAGTCCAACCTCCCAAAATATGAATCTTTTTAGTAAACGTTATGTTGGTCTAGTTCACACCTAAAATAAAAACCAATCGACAACCAACGTGGAATACTCAATACCCTTCCTCAGCCTAAGCCTGAGTAGAAATCTAAAGGAGCCAGTATTATAAATGGGCCTAAAGAGGCTGTCCCAAACCATCGAGTGGGTGCACAGCCCCATAAGCACATCGGGTTGGATCACACTCTCTTCTGATACTATGTTAAATGGGAGTCAATCAACCAAAACCCCAAAAGAATTACCCACTTATATATATTACACATAAATCCAATAGAAATATGAGATTCTCTAAAAGTAAACATGACCGTGTTTTTGGGACTGAACTCACTGAAGTAGTATTACTCATTGACGGGTGGATTTTGTATGGTCTACTTAGTAGTATGCAACCCATCAAATATTTTCCACATAATCATGTGCATTGCACTATTGCAGCATAAGATTATCTCTTGATTCTGTAACATTGTACTACATCTATCCCCTAAATAAAGAACCACGTTTGAAATACTGAAATATTAGCATTACAAATAGATCTCTTTTTTCGGGGACAGAGGGAACACAGCATATTTATGATAAACCTGCCATATATATGACAGGTTTTCAATGAGATCAGCTCAAGGGATATGGAAAAGGTCAATGTCTTGAACGGCATACTAAACAATTACGTATTTATTGGTGTTATTGGCTGCACGGTCCTCTTCCAAATCATAATTGTTGAATTCTTAGGAACCTTCGCAAACACCACTCCTCTTACCCTTCAACAATGGCTTGCAACAGTTGCCCTTGGATTCTTAGGCATGCCCATTGCTGCTCTGGTTAAGATGATACCTATATGATCCATTCTGTGTGAAGATATCTTAGCCATGAAAGAGTGGGCATGGCATGTGTCTGGCGGTTAACCGAAGAACTTCTGGTTTGTCTTTCATGTCCTCAGGATTACAGCTGGGAAATCTTCGTTTGAGTAGGTGTTTGAGAAGGCATTATAATTGTTTTGCAGTCTTGCAGCATTCTTGTTTTCGTTTTTTCTATTTGAAGAACAAAATCTTGCTGATGGTAATATCTGCAAAACCATTGATTTTCTTAGCGATCTTTCATAGTTTGTCCTTTGTATAACAGAACTCATTGGCCATGTCTTAGTGACTTGGTGATACCCACACGTTATAAAGTTTAAAAGGCTGTTTCAGTTAGTAAAATGAGAGCAAAATTTTGAACACATGAGGACATAATTGTATACGCATCAAGTGTCCATCAACATATTTCCAGCAATCCTTAGATAACCTTGAATGACTTTTTAGTCCAAGAACAAAAAAAAAATATTGCAATAGTGTCATCCTGGACTTGGTTCTTTTGGACCCTGATATGGAACCCCGCTCTTGCAGAAGAACTATACATTCATCGTGTTTATATTCATTGCAATATACAGAGTATATATCTATTATCTCGTTTTTGATGCATAAATACTGATTACATATTTACATATTTGTCACTTATCTTAATCTCATAATTAACAGTAACCCATATTCTTGTTGAGATTAATTATACACAAGATTTAATGTATAAATCTATAAAAGTGCACTCAAGAACAACAACATGGTTTTATGTGGGAACCTGAAATGGGTGAAAACCAGGTACTTTTCAAGTTAACCAGGGGAGAGAGGGGATCCCCCAATAAAAGACATCCTTGTATCTATAACTCTATAAGAATGGAGGAGGCATTTCTATTTTTTGGGTGAACTGTAAGTATATTAAATAAAGCACCCAAGAAGAAGGGGAGCAAGAATGTACAAGCAAAAGAAAGTAAACAAAAATGCAAGGTTATCCAACAAGGATAACCTTTTCCCAGCCTCAAGAAACTATCAACAAAATTACGGCCAACACCTAGACAGGAGGTGAGGCACAAGCAAAACAGCATATTAGATATAAGCCATAGTGGTCAAAAGAGCACACGGTAAAAAAAGAGTGCAAAAGATTACAAATTTACAAGTTCATGTGGATATAAGCCATAGAGGATCTTATAAACAACATAGTGTATCCTAGCAAAAACATCATCTTCTTTGGGAATCAATCCATCAAAACAGGTAGCATTCCGGGTCCTCCAAATCCAGTAGATGGGGTAGCAAAAAGCAATCCTAGCCGCCTTAGCTTTGATCTCCGAGCCTTGTCTTTTCCTCCTTATCCATTTCAGCGGGCTATGTAAAGTCCCCATCTCCCTCGGAATGTCCAGCCAAGCTCTCACTTTATCTCAAACTTTATCTGAAAAAGAACAAGCAAAAAATAGTTGTGGCGCCGTTTCTGTGTCACCCTTACAAAAGGGACAAATATTAATAACATCTAATCTATGTAAGTTATCAAAAGTAGCCAGCCGGTTCCGAAAGGCTAACCAAACCGTGAAGGAGAATTTCGGAGGCATATAAGATTTCCAAATGAAGGACATCCATATGTGGGATCCCTCCTTAATTCTAAGGAGATTATAAACTTTGGTAGAAGAAAGTTTGCCATTGTCATGACTTTTAGGAGTTTACACCTCATAAAAGAGACTCCCAACTCATCAATCGTTTAATCTTTTATGGAGGAGGCATTTCTATTTTCTACTCTAATGTGCCTCAAAAGTCAAAATGGGCTTACATATTGGGCTTCAAGAAAAACTAATAGTATCTAATCCATTACTCCAATTTCTATTTTAACCAAAATACATGCATCATTTGTATGACTTGGGATCATTTTTAAATGAACTTGAAAATATACCAACTTTCTTTACTTGACCGTCCAGAAAGATTTGTAATTTCCTTTTAAAATAAAAAATTTGCGGCTCTCTGATGGAGGAAGAATATAATTTGACTCTTGATCTTGCCATTTAAAAAAGTTGAACATAATTAATTCTGGGGATTTAATTAACAAGTCGAGAATGTATCCTTCAGAGAAATTAGGTTTCCCAACAAATACAAAACATGAGTTACAGAAAGGTTTCCCAACAAATACAGATAATTCGTTTCACAAAAAAGAATCAACAAATACAACAAATTATTAATGATTTAATTTGCTCACTTACAAATTACAACAAATGTAAATCAATAAACAAAATCCTAAGTAGATGAACAAATCAGAGTACATACAGATTCACATTCCCACACCATGTTCAGAGCAAAACAAAATATCCCAAACCACCCTTTAAAACTTAGGGTTGCAAGAGATTACATATAAACACCAAAAAAGGTTTGGCCTTTGGGTAAGTGATAAATTCCAAAACAAACGAATTCAAAGATAACCAAATGAAGAATGACTATTAAACTTTAAACAGACATTTGGACACTCCTTTTTATTAACATCCGAAATTATGTCACAATCATGTATCATCACTTCTCTTTCTCTTAAGACCGCAATTCTTTGGAAACTCTTTTTTCTCCCTCTCTAGTCCCTTCATTTGCTTATAGCACCAGAAAACATCATCCTGCATTACAATAATAGAAACAAAAAAATAACAAATCATAATAATAAAAGAAATCATAAAAATAAAGAAAATTTATAATTTCAGGATATTATTAGTAATAAAGTTGGTGAAAATTTATACTTTCAGGATATTATTAAATGAAATAAAAGGTACATTAAAAACAAAGAAAAAAATACAGTAAGATAAGACTCACAATGTTTAGACATCCACCTGAAGGTAAGGCACTGATAATAACCTCCATACCCTCTTTGACTAGTCCACCATCCAATGCCAGTAATGTTGCTGCTGCTGCTAGTACGGATGGCATGTGACTCATTAACTTTGCATCTGAAGACAAAGGAAAAGGTGCCTTAAAAAAACTCTAAAATCAAATAACATTATAATATATGCTAGCTCAAACTACAAAGCCTCATCATTGCCTTGTTCAAACTTTTGGATCAGAGAATTATTTTTCAAGTCAACCTTATTTCAATTACACATTAAACTGTGGGGGAGCAATTCAATTCTCTAATGAAGCAACACTCTATAGACTTATAGTTACTTTATAATTGTCACATTCATCTTTTAGGATGCTGAATTTTTGAATCAAATATCTTTAAACTGAGACGAATATCTCGATCCGATTAAACGAAAACAACGAGCAAATAGATTTGGGGAATGCGTGCAGTTTACCTCGGATGGCGTTGAAGATGATGCCCATAGTTGTTGATAAAATTGAGCTCTTTCTATGCATATGAGAGTGTGGGGTAATGAACTTTGATAAAAAGTAAGGAGTGAAAGAAAAAGGAGTTATGAAGCGGAGTTTCCAGTCCAATGTATTGAGCACCAAAAGCTCCATCCTTTGGATCAAAGTGCTCTCAAAAGTGAAGAGGTTTTCCATGGGTGGGGGGTACTCTGTGAGGGCAGGTACTCTGCTTTCCTCCATTTTTGCTGCTAAGGAAAGGCATGCTATCCCTAATAGCCTTATGGCCCACCACCTTTCTCTCTACACACATACATTTATTCAAAAAGGAAAACTTTTTATTACTACATTAAAGCAATTCAGAGCCATAATATATGCATTTATTCAAAATCACAAATTGCCTCACATCTATGGTTCTTCTTGAAAGAAACCGATCAAGGTAAGTTATGGATAGGTATACTGTTTGCATTCCGAATCCAAACGCTCCTCCAGTCTATAAAACAAAGGGATTGAAAGATGAAATGTCAGAATAATTTCTCATCAAAGTGGAAAAAGAAGGGCTATGATCAAGAATTCAAGATTCAAGACAGACCAAAGGAAAAGAAAAAGAAAAAGAAACAGACTTTAAGAGTGTAATGTATTGCATCAGATCGAGCTTCTTGTATCCAACTCTCATTTTCAGCCTGTGAAAGATCAAGGTTTGGGAAGCCACCATTAATGGAAGTTTCTTTATCAAGCAGAAATTGTATATACTCATCATCTTCATCTTCATCCTCCCCACTCATCAATGTGGAATCATCTCCTTCATCATTCAAACCAGACCCACTTTCTGTGCAGAGTAGAGCAGATGGAGAAAATGGAGGAATTCCCATTTTGAGATCAACTCATGTAAATAAAAGGGGTGAAATATATATAAACACACACACACAAGAATCACAAGATAGAAAAATGTATGGGAAATGAAGAGGTGGGGTGAGAGTAGAGTTGTGGGTCCCCCGGAGTTTGTACTTTTAAAGGTGTCTTTGAATGAATTTCTTGGTGTGTGCCTACTTAAATAAATTATGATTATTTGACGCAGAGAAAGAGAGAGATGGATGAGCGGGGGTGAACGGCGGAGAGGCGGCGGTAGTGGCGGAATGGAGTCAAAGTGGAGTACGGTAGTGGAATGTGAGCAAAAGAGGCGCAGTTTGACCGGAAGGTGGGGCCGAGTGGACTGTCAGTTAAAGTGGGGAGTTTTATTTCATGCTACGCATGATCTGATCTCTCTCTCTGATGCATGGTAGTTCATGTGTGAGGCCGGGGTATTCAATCGCAGCCTGAGTTCGGTAAAAAGGGGAGTTCCCTCACAAAACTAAACACATCAACTATTTTGATCAAGAATGAAACACATGACCCTATCCGAAAACGAGTTCAAGCACAAGTACATTTTTCGTATTTTTCCCTAATTACTTTAATTAGAAAATGACAAATTTTTTGGAACAACCAAAAGGAAAAAGTTGACAAAGTTCAATGGGATGGAAAGAGTATCAAATTTCGTTGTTCGACTAAATTCAATGCTTTGATTCATTCTGTATGAAAAATTATATTTAAAATATATTTTATTAGTAAAATAAAATATATATATATATATATATATATATATGAAAATAGTTAAAATGATCATTTGATGTAACTTCAACCAATCTAGCCAAAAAAAAAATTCAACCTTACTTATTCCAAGTACCCTCTCCGTCCTGCTAACAACGGGACAAGAAGGAGTGACACGCAAATCAATAAAAAGTGGTTTATGTGGTTGATATTGAATTGATAAAGTAAGAATAAAGTAAGAATGATTTAGAGTCACACAAACTTTGTCAAATTTGGTATGAGTCAATCTTAGTGGGACGGACTCATAAGGTAAAACGGGACAATCATAGCGGGACGGAGGTAGTATTACACAACTTAGCATGCGAAATCAACAATTACTCCCTCCGTCCTGAAATAATTGTCCTGCTTTCCTTTTCGGTCCGTCCCGAAATAATTGTCCTACTTTGAAACTTTCCTTATTTGGTAAACAAATATATACGAAACAGTGTCAAACAGTGCCAAACAGTGTCGCTACAGTGCCAAACGGTGTCGCCACATTGCCAAACAGTGTCGCTACAGTGCCGAACAATGTCGTTACAGTGTAAAGTCAACTTCATTTTCTTAATCTGTGTGAAGGTCAAAACCAAACGATTAATTCGGGACAGAGGGAGTACGTGTTTGGTGAAAAATTGACCAAAATAATTGATAAGTTGAAAAATAGAGTCACCAAGCGAGATCCAAAAGTATAAACTTTTAATAAGACGGTGATAAGAGTCGTGATTGGTGTATGCGTTTTTTGTGTACATTTTTGACTGCATAGACAACTCTGTCTTCATAGACAAACAAGTGTACACAAAAAACATGTTTTAAGAATCAGATCCAAACACCTCATGTATCTATTATGTGTGTCTGATTGTGATGGAATGACACTTATGCCCTTCACGAGCTCACCACAAGCCGGATATATCGTCTATAAAGTCAAGTGGGCTAGACTAGTTAATCTAATCGAGTAGTAGATCAAGCTCGACTTTTGTTCTCAAATAAACGAGTCTAGTTCGTGTTTTCAAGACTCAAATTTGAGCCGACCTTGTTTCACATATGATATCACAATGGTGTTGGACTAGTTACATACAAATGATGCTCTCTGTAATGTGGGGCAGATCTAGAACCAATATTAAACAAGGCAGAACCTTCACACACTTTAGTTATACACTCCTTCCCTCCGTCCCATAACTTTCCTTTTTTAGTTGTCCCAAAAAACTTTATCACTTTCTTATTAAAGCAACTAATTTGTGGTTCTGCACATTTCTTTCTCCTCTGCACAAATCTCAACCACACAGTTTTTACTATTCTTGTTTCTCGCCTACTTTGCACTTGACAAAGTCCACCGGGACAGAGGTAGTACTAATTATCGTGAATCGACCTGTTATTATTTAATTAGTTTAGTTGTCTAAGCTAGTGGCTTATTGAACTTAGCGGGAGTGTTTGGCAATTGATCGTTGGATGCTGGCTGATTGTGTTGAGTGACAGGGGCGGAGCCAGGGCTCTGGGCCGATACAAAGAGTTTTTTTGGAACAAAATTTACACAAAATTTTTTACACTAAAAATATAGACATTTTTTAAATTTGGGCTGGGTCAGCGTTGGCCACCCCCTAGCTACGTCTCTGTTGATTGATTCATAACAACAAATTATGTTGGTTGTTTTGATTAGTTGATAGTATTAGCAGTCGTAAAATAGTGTTTGGTTAAATGGATGTTTACAATCAACTGATAACTTGTTAAATGACTATTAAGAACATCATTTATTTTTTAGCTTCAATTATTATCATTATTATTAATAATGTTGTTGTTATCATTGTTATTGTTGTTGTTGTAATTACTATTATTGTTGTTGTTGTTATTGGTATTATTAGTTTTATTATTGCTGCTATTACTCCTATTATTGCTATTATTACTATTATCACTACTATTAATACTATTATTACTTTTATTAGTTTAATTATTATTATTATTATTTTGACATAAGAAGTACATAGTATATTTTAATAAATGCACAAAACTAAGTTGAAGCTAAATTGACAAAGAGCTAGAAAAGAAGTCTTTTAAACGCATGCTTGCTCCCTCCTGCATTGCTGTTCTCTTCGGTGGGAATTAAATTTTTGTCATGGGTGTTAGTGAGGATTGGAGGAGGCAGATGCAAAAAGGCAGAACGGTAGTGTGGGTAGTAAAGGAAAATTTAGGAAAAGCCATTTGTAAAAACTACACCATTTCATATTTTGGTTATTTGTATAACAAGTCAAATGAAAATGTCATTTAACCAAACGTTCTTATTAACCGATTGATTCGGCCAAATGGCCATAATTGATCGAATCAGCCAAAATTTGGTGATAGGTAAGCTAATCAAACACCCCCCATTTATGGCCTTTTTCAAACGTATGAGCAATTGTTAGACATTGGAAAAAATGTATAATCGGAATAATAGTACTGTATGCAAATACTAAAAACACAGTTTAATAAAAACTTTAACTTTGCACCTCATTTAACTTAGGATGTTTTCTTTTAGATTGTTTTCAGTATCAAATCAGACCAGACCAAACCAGACCAGATCAGACCAGACCAGATGAGGCCAGAATTCCATAGTTATAAATTACATAGAGATCAGACATTTACCAACCAGACCAGACCAGCTCAGATCATATCAGACTAGACCAACAAATTTGAGTCCAAAAGAAAACATCCTTAAAAATTCTTTGACTTTGCACTCTATTCAGAGGATGATACCTCAGCACAAGTCATTGTTTGAAGTTGAACCCGAGAACTCTCCCTTGTGGCACCCCTTTCTACCAGGTGAGCTACGCCTCCCGATGAAATGTTTTTTTCCCACTAAATGTTATGTGACGAGGTGCAAAATCAAAGATTTTTCAAAATGGAGTGCGAAATTCTATCACCCAAAAAGTGAAAGTGAAGTCCCTCAATTAAAAAATCACTAAATACTTAAAAATAACATGATTATGTTATGATGTTCTTTTTATTTGGATGTTTGGGAATCAAGTCTTTGAATATGTACGTATTTATAAACATTTTTCTCAAGTCAAATAGCACTCTTCTTGTTTCAATTACACGTTGTTTATTTCACACCGAATAAATCTCAACACAAACATCAAGTGATATGAGAGAGCTACTATACACATCTTTGATATGCCGATTAGCCTTATAACTGGGAAAATGGCAGTTACAACGTGAAGCATAAAGGTCTTCAATTGACAACTTAATTAAAAACGGAATCACGTCTTAAACACATTCTCACAACAATGGATCACGAAGAAGGAGAAGGAATCGGAATCAGAATGTCCCCAGACTCATCTCTACCCGCGGGTGCACCCGACGTGCCGGTGCCAATGGGAGGTCGGAAAAAACGGGCGGTGGCAGCCGGGGTACAAAAAACACTCTCCAAAACATCGCTGCTCATCAACTTCCTCCCGACCGGAACGCTGCTAACCTTCGAGATGGTCCTCCCCAGCGTCTACGCCAAAGGGCAGTGCTCCTCCGTCAGCACCACCGTGATCATCGTCCTCCTGGCCCTCTGCGCCCTCTCCTGCCTCTTCTTCCACTTCACCGACAGCTTCCGGGGGGCGGATGGCCGGAAAGTGTACTACGGCTTTGTGACGCCCCGGGGGTTGGCAGTGTTCAAGAGCGACCCCGGAGTGGAAGTCCCGAAGGACGACCGGTACAAGGTTGGGTTCACGGACTTCGTGCACGCTGTGATGTCGGTGATGGTTTTCATGGCGATCGCATTTTCCGACCACCGCGTGACGAACTGTTTGTTCCCCGGACATGGGAAGGAGATGGATGAAGTGATGCAGAGTTTCCCGTTGATGGTTGGGATTATTTGCAGTGGGCTATTTCTTGTTTTTCCAAACACTCGCTATGGCATCGGTTGCTTGTCTGCCTAGTTAATTACTCCCTAATCCCTAATGTACTTTTAGTCACTAATTAAATGCTCAAATTCTGTAGTTACTTGTGATGTTTCTTGATTGTTGTATTTTGTGATTTGATTCTGTAATACATAGGTGTTACAAAAAAAATATTACCCACTGAACTATTTATTCATCTGTGTTCGGTGGTGAACATAAAAGAATATATGTAAAGATTAAAATTTCACTATATTTTTAATACCAAAAGATGTAAAAATATTCCTGAAGTACATGTGGAGGTGCCCATATACACCTAAACTTCTAAAATTTGGGGGAAAACTCTCATTTTCCTACAAATTTACACTTATTAACTTTAAATAGCCTTTCAAAAAGAACTTTTAATAGATAAAATAAATTTTATAAAACACCAAAAATAAATTATAAATTTGAAATTCAAAATGGAGAAAAAATGTGTCCAACTCCTCATTTTATTATTTTTATATCACAATTTAATATTGTTAGTATATAAATTTTACACCCTCTATCTCTATTATCTTCAAACTCTTTTTTTCGTCCGTCCCAAAATCATCTCCTTTTTTCTTTTTGGTAAAGAATATGTGGTTCACAACAATTCTTACACATTTCTCTCTCATGTGGACAACTCTTCACCACACAAAATTCACTATATTAATTTATGTTTCATAACTTTACTATGCATACATTTATGATTCTTTTATATGCCCCTGATTTAAGAAACGTGTTTTACAACAGTCAAAATTTGACTTGATTTAGTTTATATGCTTTGATTTGATCTGGTTTGTCAAATCCAGTATGGTCTCATTTAATTGGAGACTAAAATCAATCCAATTATAAACATCTCACAAAACATCCATGATGCATATTTCAGTGTCAAAACTCAAAAGAGCGTCTTGGAAACTCCAACTCCAATATTCAACATTATGCATAAATCTGAAAATGACTGAAAGCAATATATATCACAGCAAACAATATCACAAGATTTTCTTAACTGCCTTGCAGAATGGGGCGAATGATACCCAAGCAACTCAGCCAGATAGAGTTAAAAGAGATGAAATGAAGGAGGTAGGGAGGGTGGGTGGGTGGGCGGATTCCCAAAACTTTGACTGGATTATTCACTCTCCTCCTCCCTCTCTCCACTGTGATCACATGACTTCTCCCCCATTTAGTCATACCCCACCAAATATCATTTCATCTTCATTTCATTTATGTCTCCTTATTCCACGCCACCAGTACATTTATGCTCTGTTTATCTTTACAGCAAATAAATTTCTTTACAAAACCACACCTGTAATAGTTAGTACTCGCAGGTACAATGCTTCTACTTTATAACACACACTCTTCATGATTTTTGTAAATATCTATTCCCACTGTCTCAGGAAAAAGAATCCAGTCACATACTACGTACTTCATAAAAAATAAATATCGAACCAATTTCACATTTTCACCCCAATTCTTAATGTTCTCAAGTCTACTTAATGGACCTGTACACTGTATACCATTATACAATGTCCCTATTCAGCATTTCAAACTGATTGTACTACAATAAAACCCAAGACCAAACAAGTTCTATTCTAACTGAGAGGTTATAACGAAATAAAAAATCATAAAGTTGTGACTAACATATTTAGTAATGAAGTAGACACTATTACCCTTATATAGACGACTCCTGTATAGAGGTTTCACTAAATATATATTCAGCTTAATTAATAAGTCTTACAAGCTAAAGAAAATAGAACATTACTTCAAAAGTTTGAAATAGTGGGGAAAATATGACTTTTGCAAATAATGGACTTGATAAAACAACAATAGGTTATTGACAAAAGCATGAGTTGTAAGGGTTGTGTATAGACAGAGAGATGGGAAGGTAATGATATGCAACTTATTAGTATTATTATAAATACTAGTGTTTGTACAGTGAATTATTACTACTCCACTAGTTTGTTATTTTCCCCACCTCTTTAACTAGATTTATTTCCGAGTGCTGTAAAATGTATTATTATTGGGTCATGTACAGGACTAAGTCTGACAACCAAGTAGGGGTCTGTCCTCTCAGTTTTAGTACAAAATCTAACAGTGCTATACCTTATAATTGAACATACCAACTTATCTACAACTGTTTATGCGTGTACATGGCTAAGACTCCCAGCAGTTGTTGGGATGGCTTTTCAGTTTTCACCAGCTGAATACTTATACTCCCTCCTTATCTAGTTAAATGACCTGTTTGCTTTTCATGGAGTTTAAGACGATTAATGTAGACTTTATAAAAGTAAAAGAGTTTTGGTACTGTAGTGGTACTATAGCTACTTTTTGACTGGGATTCTTTCCAAAAAAAAGAAATGAGACAACTAATTTGATACATCAAAAAAGGAAAGTGTGACAAATAAATAGATACGGAGGGAGTAATAATTAATGAATTGCGTCGTAAGTAATTAACCATCATTTTTACGGTTAAGTTACTCCATGAGAGCTTATGATAAGCTAAAGAATTCGCCTCTCCCAAGAAAATAATGGTGAAAGCAAATTTTCACATTTAAGAGCCTCAGCGCTTGGGAACAAGGTATAATAACGCAATGGAAGAACGTAATTAAAATTTAACGAGTACAAACTACATTTACAATGCCAATACAATACGGCGAAGTTCAACAAATATGTTTTTGTTCTAGAGCCCTAGGAAAGAAATAAGAAATAAAAGAATACAAGCACAAACCCAACTGTAATTTCACACAAAGGTTCATCTATTTCTTCTTTACATAAGAGTGATAAGACCAAACTCACCAATGTTAAGGGAGTAGAAAAATTTGCTGCATAATAAGAAATTAAGAACTAAGATAGTTTAGTCTGCTTATTAGCAAAATCAGTACCCATGTATCTGGATTTGTTCTTACACATTTGGTTTTGCACATCCTTATAGGAATGTGGCCCACCTCTAGTGGAAAGAGTGAGCAAAGAGTAAAAGTATGAAAGAGAAGCACAAACCAATGGTACATTTTACTAAAAAGGGAGGGATGTGGGGATTGGAGGCGTGAGGAGTAGCATATTACTTATTTCACTGACATACTTTACCAAACACTTATTTTTCGAAAATTAGAAAGAAGAAAAACAGATAATCCTTACCCGAAAGGCACTTAGAATCTTAAGGCAATCCTAATTCAAAGTACTCCGGCAATCCGCGAAACTGTTGCTCATTCATCAAGGAACAAATACTCCTCAAAACAACATCAAAATACTCGGGCAATCATTACCCCGAAACTGTTGCTCATTCATTACATTGATCATCGAGTACAGTTCTATAAAAAGAAGAGCAAATAGAGGTTATAGAGGTTAACTGGCTCTCGAAGTGTTTCTAGTCTGACATCCTTCATGATTAAATAAATGAAATCCTAAAAACAACCTCATCAATCATGAGTATTTGATTTAATATCCAGACAATTTCCTAAAGAAACTGGAGATATTTACAAAAACATAGAATTAGTCAGTCAGTCAGTCATTTCTAATATGTTTGGAAAATGCTATTTACCTCTCTCCTCGAATAGCACTGCCAGCTTCCACTTGCAAAGCAGAGACCATTTTGATTATAATCCATTAATAAAGGATGTCATACCCATTCAAAGTTAATTTCTTTGGGCAGGACCAAACCAATGAGGCAAGGCACTGGGTTGGGCTCAAGAGAGAGCATGGACCAGGTCTCTGGACACTGCGGAAGGATAAAAAGAAGTCTAGCCCATATAGATCCTACAGCTGGCAACTTAATGACACCCGCACACTCCCTCTGTTTCAAGTATGACGTGAAATCCTGAAACTGATTAATTTTTTAATGTGAGTGTCCTGACATTATTAAAGTACATATTAATATAACATTACATTTTGTAAACAAACAAGATTATGAGAACAAGACATATTACAACAAGATAAGAGGAGATAAATAACTTACACCCTTATGGTCATCTTGAGAAGCAGGAATCAACCAGCATAACTCCCTCTGCATTGTATTCAACATCAGCAAGTCAGATAAATGAAAAAATACTTCTTAGTCTCATTCAAACAACAGAAACAGAAGGATATAATTTTCTCCCTTTGCACCTCAATTTACCATATAAATGAAACATGAATGTTACAGAGCATTAAGAAAGAGCAACTCTGCATATTTCATCAAATCTAGCAAAAATCACTCCCCTATGCATGTCTCATATTAATATGGACAAATGTGAACCACTCGGTTTGGTTCAGTCCTAGGTTAAGATTGAATCCGGCTGGGGTCATGCAACCATGCCTTAAAAGACCTTCCTAGGGTTGGTTTTGAGCTGTAGTTCTCTTACAAAATGGGGGGACTGCTGGGTTGTCTAAATTGACAGAAGACGATATTGGTGTAGATGTGATGCTTGAAAATATGTAGTTCACTAGTTTTCAATTCCTAAGCCTACAACAACTACATCAACATACAAGCTTTAAATCTTTAATCCCAAAAAGAGTTTGGGGTCGGCTAACATGAATCGACATGACATCGGAGTTTAAAACAAATAATAATCGTAATAATAAATAGCCTTGAAGATGTATGTTGGATATACCAGATATTATCTTACTTAGGGGATAAAAAGTCACTATTTAGCAGTGAACCAATGAACATACATGAACTTCTGGCTTTTTGCTGTTTTGCATTTTGATGAATAGCTTGCATCAGAAAATATTTTAAAGGTCAAATATGATATACGGATTTACGGATTTTTTGCTTATGCCACTTAATATACTATTCATCCATCATTTCCAATGGAGCTAAAGACCCACTTTTTTGTTTGGGAATATCATGTGATAAAAGCAAAATGGCTCACTTAACTGTCTGCGCTTCTTTGTTATAAAACAGGCAGTCAGCCCATGCAATTTTTTAAGAAACAGAGAGATTGTTTCTGTTTCTGGATGACCTCTGTGCTTTAGTACATGGGTAAGGCTAGGTACATCCGACCCACCTTATCCCACTGCAGATGGGAGCCTTTGTGATACCGAGGTAATGTTGTTGTTGCCACGTAATATACTATTCCCTCCGTCCCATAAAGTTTCTCCAAAGTTGACTTGCACATAGAATAATTAAGTAAAAACTGTGTGGTTGAAATTTGTGCAAAGGAGAGAGAAATAACTTTAGCAACATAGTTGTTACTTTAAATG